AAGCCTTATCGATATGTAGATTTTAGGACTTAAGATTTTGTGTCTATAAACACCCAATTTTACATTTTCAACTTAAGAAATCCTCATTACTGGTTTTTTTGTAACTTCTCTTAGGCATTTAAAGAAGCTATTTCTTGTTCCTGGCTAGGTAGCTCAGTTGGCCAGAGCATTGTAAGTTGAAATTTTGACATTTAATATACAACTAGTTAGGAAATAAAATATAGTCTGTAGTTAAATATATTAGATTCTTATTAATGGAAATGAATTTTCCATTTCTTGGTTGAACTACATGGTTGTATGAAAAGTGAATAATGGACAGGAAAAAAATGCTCCCCAAAGATGTATATTAAGTTTAAAATATGCCCTGGCTGGTGTGGCTCAGTTGGGCATCATCCTGTGTATGGGAAAGGTTGCTGGTTTGATTCCCAGTCAGGGCACTTGCCCAGGTTGTGGGCTCAATCCCTGGTAATGGGCATGCAGAAGGCAGCCAATCGATGATCTGCTCTTACATCAGTGTTTCTCCCTCTCTAAAATGTCAATAGAAATATTTTTAGGCACACATACACACCAAAATATATGGGGCCAGGGTACATAGAAGAATCAACCAATGAATACATAAATAAATGCAACAACAAATTAATGTGTTTTTTCTCTAAAATCAATAAATAAAAGAAGCTATTTCTTAAATGAAGTGCTTTGCTGTACGGTTTATTTTAAATTAATACAATTACAGCTTTATGAAAATACATTGAGTCTAAATGCTTTTAATGTATTGAGCTTTTTTAAAGAAAAAGATACAATAGTGCCTGATCTTAAGTTGATGGAGCTAATGTGACACAAAAAACAATATGATTAGTTAAGTCAACCACTAAATTCAATCAAATCATTGGTTCTGTGGTCCCAAACAGACATAACCACAATTGAGATGGCTATAGAACTAGACTACCTGACAACAAAGTCATGAAAATTGGGGTTGGTATAGAGGGGAGTGGAAAAAATTGGAAAAGATTACAGAAAACTGGGTGAAAGGTTATTGCATTACAATACTGGTTCTCAGTGTTGGATTTATACGGTAATAACCAAGAGGTTTGCCCTAACCAGTTTGGCTCAGTGGATAGAGTGTCAGCCTGCAGATTGAAAGGGCCCAGGTTCGATTCTGGTCAAGGGCATGTACTTTGGTTGTGGGCACATCCCCAGTAGGAGGTGTGCAGGAGGCAGCTGATCAATGTTTCTAACTATTTCTCTCTGTAAAAAAATCAATAAAATATATTTTAAAAAAATAATAACCAGGAGGTTTAACAAATACTGATGCTTGGGTACCACCCCCAGAGATTCTGATTTAATTGGCTTGGGGGTTTGATGGATTTAAAGAATAAGCAATCAAGATTGAGAACTGCTTTAAAAGTAAAATACAGTAAAAGTACATAACCCTTAAAGAGCTAATTAACCAATTTAGGAGTTCACAGAATTAATGCTATTACCTTTGAGGGAAAAATTTAAATACACAAGTTTGCAATTACTGTTTTAATCAATTTAATATCTAACATTCATCTCAGTCTAAATTAATACATGATAGCTCTTAAACATAGTGAATAAAAATAAAATGTAAAAAATAATTATTTTTTCTTTTGGCTTAATATTCAGAATTTTCCTCTCCATATTTATTTTATATTATCCCAATTGAAAAATGTTAAAGCTGAAAAGCTCTTTTAATTGCCCCTTTATTGAGGGAGTATCCATATCTAGGGATTAATCCAGATTTTATGAAGCCCCTAGTTTATATAATTTGGGGGACCCTGTTTAAGAAAATAAAAAAAATTTGCCCTGGCCAGTTTTCCTCAGTGGGTAGAGCATCAGCGGACCAAAGGGTCCCGGATTTGGGGGCCCTGGTCAGAGCACGTGCAGGAGGCAACAAATTGATGTGTTTCTCTCACATCAATGTTTCTCTCTGTTTTTCCCTCTTCCACTCTCTCTAAAAATCAATGGAAAAATATCGAGTGAGGACTAAAAAAGAAAAGATAAAATTTTGAATACAAAATTGGTAGGACTCTTCCCAGCACCTTCAAAGAGGCCCATGTAAATGAAGGTCCTTAAAACTTACACTTCATTACTTTGTATAAAATCACTCCTGCTTCTACCATTGTCAGTTCTAATTATTCATTTTGTCATTCATATTTAACAGATATTTTTAGTTCATTTATAAACCTATCTAAAAATTAGTACTGAATAAAATACTGAAATTTTAAACTATGATTAATGTGCAGTGATTTTAAGTGGCCGCAATATTTTTTTAATTTCTCAAAACCTTTACCATGTTCTTAAACCACCGATTAAAGTTAAAATCTTTAGTATTGCTCTGAATTGTCCAGGGTCTTGACTTTCTCTTTATAAATCCTAGAGGATCTATCCTCATAAATACAGGTTGAAAAACAAAATCTTTTCAAAAAAGACAAAAGAAGCAAAAAACAGATACAGGTACTGTAATATGGAGGGGAATTGCTAACACTTGAAAAAAATGACATATAAATGGGTATAATGCTTGTTTATTGAGCATCATCATTTTTCCCTTAGGCTCAAAAAAATATTTTTCTTTCCAGGGCTCAACACCAGAGTAAAAACATGGTCATTATATATACAACTAGAGGCCCGGTGCACCAGTGGGGTGCCTCAGCCTGGCCTGCGCCCTCTCGCAATCTGGGACCCCTCGGGGATGTTGGACTGCCTGCTGCTCCTGCCTGCCGCCCCTGCTCATCCTAGCCCTGATGCACGTGCTGCAGGATCATGCCCAGTCAGTCCATGAGCCCTCCATCTGGCGCCCATTGGTCAGCTGAGCAGCACTCCCTCACTGTGGGAGTGCACTGACCACCAGGGGGCAGCTCCTGCATTGAGCGCTCGCCCCTGGTGGTCAGTGCTTGTCATAGCAACCAGTCAACTGTCAGGTCATTTGGTTGTTCAGGCTTTTATATATATAGACTAGAGGCCCGGTGCACAAAAATTTGTCCACTTGGGGGGGAGGGGGAGTTCCTCAGCCTGGCCTGTGCCCTCTCGCAGTCTGGGACCCCTCGGGTGATAACGACCTGCTGGCTTATGCCTGCTCCCGGGTGGCAGAGGGCAGGCCCAATCCCTAGGTGCAACCCCTGGTCGGGCTCAGAGCAGGGCCGATTGGGGAGTTGGGGCACCACCCCCTGTCACACAAGGCAGGGTCGATAGGGAGGTCGCGTCACCACCCCCTGTCACACACAGAGCAGGGCCCATCAGGGGGGTTGGGGCTCCATACCCTGTCACACACAGAGCAGGGCCCATCAGGGGGTTGGGGGGCTCCCCCCTGTCACACACAGAGCCGCACAGATCAGGGGGTTGGGGCGCCGCCCTCTATCACCCACAGAGCAGGGCCAATCAGGGGGTTGGCGCGCTGCCCCCTGTCATGCACAGAGCAGGGCCCATCAGGGGGTTGGGGAGCTCCCACGTCACACACAGAGCAGGGCCCATTAGGGAGTTGGGGCGCCGCCACGTTCACACTCAGGGCAGAGCGTGCTGGGAGGTCTCCTTGCTCCGCTGATCCCGGGGTCCTGAGGCCTCTCGGCTCCGCTGATCCTGGGGTCCTGAGGCCTCGCGGCTCTGCTGATCCCGGGGCCGGGAGGCCTCTCGGCTCCGCTGATCCCTGGGTCCTGAAGCCTCGTGGTTCCGCTGATCCCGGGCCAGGAGGCCTCTCGGCTCCACTGATCCCGGGGTCCTGAGGCCTCGAGGCTCCGCTGATCCCGGGGTCCTGAAGCCTCGCGGTTCCGCTGATCCCGGGCCGGGAGGCCTCTCTGCCCTGCTGCTTCAGGGATGTTTGGCTTCGCTCCGCTTGGAGCCTGAGTATGCAAATTAACTGCCATCTTTTAGCTTCTATAATTAAAACATTGTATCTTTTGGAGTTGTTGCTTCAGGAGCTCAGAGCCCCCGCAGCTGCAGACAGGGAACCTTGGCTTCCTCATGCTGGGGCAAGCAAACCTCCCTGTTCGCATCAGCTGCCTGGCTGCCAGCCGCCATCTTGGCTGCCAGTTAATTTGCATATCTCGCTGATTAGCCAACGGGAAGGGTAGCGGTCGCATGCCAATTACCATGTTTCTCTTTTATTAGTGTAGATATTTTATACGATACTGATATTATATACCATCATTTTACCTGACAATATTGTGTTTTCTCTCAAATCTGGAATTGGGTGGGGATAAATTATATTTCAAAAGATAGGTCATGGCTATTAAAAGCAAAGTATTCCCTACAGGCATCACTACATTAGACAGGACAAGAATGGATATTCATATTGACTTTACCCTAAAAAATAAGTATTTTATAAGAAGGCAGGAAAATGTTTACAAAGCAGTTAAAAACTTTTTAAAGTTTTGGTTCACACAAGTAACCATTTGGAAAATTCATTTACTTAAATTTTTACCTGATGATAGATGAGGTGTTCTTGCATTTGGCTTTGCTTCTCCATCAGCACTTCCAAGACTGCAACGTAACCTGGAACACTAACTATAACACATTGGAGCTGGCAAGTGGGATGGAGTGACAATGCTGGGACAGTTTCTCTTTAAACTGAAGCACATTGACTAACACATCTAGCTAGTTAAGTTACTTAACATACATATACTGATCAATAAATGAACAAATTATCATAAAGAAGTGCTTACAAAAGAATGTTTATGCTCTTACCTCTAGATAGCCAAAGCTCTCCCATTTGTACTTCGTGCAGAAAAAGTTCTTGCAACTTTTCATTCCTTGCTGGATCCCACTGCTACGATTCACAAAATATTTAACAATGAGTAATGAATCTGAGGGATATGCTTACTAATCAAAATTTAGTTTTTATTTTAAAATGCACTTCTTAAACCTAGTTTCTAAATCCAAAGTATGACAAATGCAGTTATTCTTTATACTACTTAAACCAATTTCCTAAAATGGAATTACTATTTCAGGCCATAAAGAAAAAAATACACGACGGGCTGGGTGGTGGGGGGTAAAGGGGGAGGAAATGGGAGACATCTGTAATACTGTCAGCAATAAAATAAAATTTTTAAAAAAGGGAAAAAATACATGGCATATCCAAATTAGGCTGAGATGCTTGTAATAACTCATCCATATTTTACTCGGCTTACTAAGTACACATATCAGACATCTTACTATAATTAACTATAACAAAGATTACTTTGTATGTTGCAAAACTATTCCCTTGCCTGGGTATTAACATTGCTTGTTGGTTGGGAAACAGCCTGGTGGGGAGTTGGCAGTGCTGTGGTGTTGGAAGGTTGCTGTGGTTCGCTGCAGCCTGGTGTGTGACGGTGACCAGGGTCACACGATGCCACATCATTGGCACCATGCCCAGGGCTGGTCTTTAAAGGTAGAGTGAGCACCAGGCCGGCCTGGCTCAGAGGTTGAGCATCTACCTATGAACCAGGAAGTCACCTTTTGATTCCAGTCAAGGGCACATGCCTGGGTTGTGGGCTCCATCCCCAGTAGGGGGAGTGCAGGAGGCAGCCGATCAATGATTCTCTCTCATCACTGATGTTTCTAGTCCTCTCTCCCTCTCCCTTCCTCTCTGAAATCAATAAAAACATACTTTAAAGAAATTGTTTGAAGCACCTGTTCCTACAGCGTTTATTGTATAGCTGCCTTTTCATAACCCCAAATGGTTCTTCTTTTTCTTTTGTAAGCGACAATAAAAACTAAGCCTGAACTCCACGTGGGCTCGGAAGTGCCAGCTCAGGAACCAGCCGAGACCCCGATCGGAGCCGGGTCCTGCGCTGCGGGGAGGTTACTCACTACAAGGCCACCTGGGCGTCGCCAAAGCTCTTCACCTGGGCGCCGGCTCCATCAGCCTTTGGAGGCTGGGCTCTTCTTTCTGCAAAGACAGCGTGGCACGTGCTGAATGGAGTCACCCCGACGCCGGTGTGCGCCTCGCGGACCCCTCCATAGCGGCGGCA